TAGGCAATATTATATTACTATTGTCCACGATCAACCGATCACGTAGACTGATTAGGATAATATAATTAATTTATATTATCCAAGTAGTTTTAGAAGAAACATAAAACCCTCCGAATAACAATTTCATATTTTTTTTAATCTTTTATTTATTTATTTTTAAAAAAAGCTACGAAAACAAGTAATACACAGTTTTAAGTTTAAATGCTATTATTCATTGAACATTTTTAAGTTAAATGAAACTATAAATAATATCATTAAATTGTACAAAATTGATATATTCTTAAGTTACTAAGACTTTATTCTTATGTACCTACAAAAAAGTAAATTTTTAACCGTGACAAATTATGTTATTTATTATAAGATTAAAAAAATTATGATAAAAAATTGAACTTTATGTATTTAACTTGAATAAAAAATTTCCAACTCTGCATGCCGATAACGCATGATGTGGGCTTTTTTGTGTCTGTATTCATTAACTTTTTTTATATTGGACCAATTCCTTCGAGTGGCAACCCTATAAATCACAAATTTGATCTAGTTGATACTCTGAGGAGAAAGAGAGGGGGTGGAAGAAGGGGGGGCTTAAAGTTGAAAAAGTTTACTTCTGCGCAGTTAAAATTAAAAAAAAACCATACAAGTTTTTAAGTAGGAATTTCACTGGCTATAATTTCAAGAAAAAGAGTCGGATCGAGTTGAAATGTGGAAGGAATATTTATTTGATATGCCCGCACACGTCAGTTATATCAAATTGACAACTAAGCATCAAAGCGTTTATTTAAAAGTGATTTTATTCAATTTTATCACTTTTATTTATAATTGCTGTAGACTTGTGACCTCTCTGTCCCTTCTATGCTTCGATTCCATTATGCCTATACTATACTGTACTAGTCCTCTCGGATAAAAACCCTTCAAATTGACGCTTTCATGCTTATTTGTAAATACAGCGCCTCAATTTAACACTTTCTTACTTTGCTCGTTTACACTGTGCTGGCTCGAAAATACCAACTACTGATTTGAATTAAAGCGTTTACTCGAAAGTGACACTTTCAGATTTAAAATCTCCTTTAAACCTGTGACTTACTCGACCCAACTATGCCTCGACCCCACAGTACTGGTTTTTTTTTGTCAATGATCTGCTAAAAGTTTGTAGTTTGTTTAGTAGTTATTTTAGTTTTTACTAATTAAAAAAAAAATGGCTATAGATTTTTGAAAAAAAAAATAACAATGCGAGGAACAATGCCATTATATATTTATATCTTTCCTTTTTTAAGGGTAACTTAAAGTGCCAACGGTATTTTCTTAATATTTTATTGTATACCAGTTGCACTATTACAATTGCAGTATCACGTCGTTAAATTTTTGTTGAGACTAATCTACAGAATACTTTAACTGATTAATTAGGAAACTTATAATGTTGCAAAAAGACAACTAATTAATTAATATAATATTATTTTCAACATATAACGTGTCTAACGTAAAACAAACTATTTTAAAACCAATACCTCATCAGCCCCGCATCGATGCTCAAAATAATTGAATTAAATTCTTATATTTTATTATAATTGAGTGATGTGAGTACCTGGTTACATTGTTTATATATTGTTAATATTTCAGTCGATGCAACAGAATTGGACAATGACGGCAGCGTGTCAATGACTCTTGAATCGAGTGAATTACCAAATGAAGATGAAGTTTATGTTCAAGATAACGGAGACGGTACTTTAAACTATTTTAATAACAGTGGTAATAGAGGTACGCGGTTTAATAATCAGGGCCACAGAGGTGAGCAGGTTTATAATCAGGGTAACAGAGGTGAGCAGGTTTATACTCTAAATACTGAAGTGCAGTATAATCAAGGTAATATAGGTAAGTCTAATTCGACCTCGGGGTCGCATTATTATCATGCCTTATATCACATTTCAATTATTAAAAACGTTTCAGGAGATGCATTTTATTACCTAAAAGATGGTAGTAGCGTAAAATTTATAGGTGATTCAGTCTTGATCAACGACGAGTTAGTTCCAAGATATAAAAAAAAGGATGTAACGAAGATAGAATTTGGTGGAGGTTCAGTCAAGATAAATGGAAAAATAATTGAACAATTCAATGGAACACTAGGAGAAGGAATCATGTATTTTTAAATATTCAAGAAGCAATAAATCCACAATGAGAAATAAAAAATTCAATGTAACTTAATTCAAATATTACAAACTGATTATATCCTAACTAAAAATATGAAAATAAAAGAATAAATTAAATACCGTATTCCTTAGTACTATATTTTAGCTATTCAAAAATCATATAAATAAAACATAGATAATATATTTAAATTTTGTATAAAAATCATATAAAACTAGACATGGATGTTCTTCGTTTTCAAAGGTCTCCTTAGCTTTTTACGAGTTTCTAGCGTAGATGGGTAGTCAAACTTAAACTATAAATCACAGATAATATATATATATATATAATCAGTAAACATAGATAAGGAATGTTTAAAAAAATGGTAAGATCGAAGACTAAATTCTTCATTATATTAGTTTTTGTGATGTATATACTCTGACAGTTCTATAAGGCACTGTAATTCGCATGGTAAACGTTATTTTCATAAAATCAAATATATTATATTTTTTTTTAAAAATGATGTAAAAAGTTATACGGCATACAATAAAATTATCTTATACCCGTGCAATTTTTACACGAGCAATTTTATTACAAATTTAATATCTTTGGTTTCATGAATATTTACAACGACAGTTGAAAAAAAAAAATCAAAATATCTTTGTGCACAAACACTAATATTGTATGTTTAACACGAGCATATTGTCAACCTATGATTTATCATAACGTTCGATTTACACGTGCTCACAATATAGCGAAAAAAAATAATTTGAGGGCAATGATATTAAAGTGTAGTACATAATGCAAATGCTAAAAATCCAGTACATTGGAGTTGGGCCCGAAGAATATTATAAGGTCACAGATATATATGAATTAAAACAACTGAAAGTGGTAACATCACTTACAAATATATTATTATAACATAATATATATATATATATAATGAAAAATATTTTGTCAAATTCTACCTATTGCAGTAGCATAGGAATATATAGAAACAACTGTGTGAAGAAAAAACCAAAAATGAGATGTGTCATCCAAGAAGATTGACAACTTATGATTGTCTCAAACCCTTTGATTTAGTGCTTACACTAAAGTAAAAAAAAATAATTTGAGGGCAATGCTATAAAAGTGTATAGCAAACTGCAATTATAAAATTTAGTACCGTCGAATTAAACAGTATATTAAAACAGTTAATATGATAACTATTAAAATTATTCTCTTGTTTAGTCTAGTTGCATACGCAGTGTAAGTATTTTTTCTAACTATTTATTTATTAAAACCGTTTGGATATATTATTTTAGATCTTGAGTTTTCTTGTTTAATATTAATTTTAAATATAAACGTTTGCTTTTCAGGTGTGGTAACGGCGATGAATCGCCAAAAGAAGGTAACAATAATATTATAAGATTAAAATAAAATAATTCAATAAGGCCGGAGCATGTGGGACTAAACTCTAAATTATATTGGTGACATGGAGTAATAGCCTTTTTAGTAATTTTTATGAGTTTAGAAATAACCTTGCATAGGAAATTATAAAAGGTTTTATTACTAGAAGTATAAATATTAACCATATTGACTATTGTGTTATAACTTATATGATTTTTTTTGGTGTTAAATAATTCCAATGAAAATTGAAAAAATAAATTTCACCGTCACGTCGGCAGAGTTGCGCATTATATAAAATATAATATATTTTTATTTTAACCATTTTTTTAAAATTAGTGGACTAGTCTTATAACCATACCTTGAGATAAAAATTTCATCTTTTTTAATCCGTTAGCTCTTATTTAATTATTTTTTAAAAGCGCTACGAAAACAAGTAATACACAGTTTTAAGTTTAAGTGCTATTATTCATTGAACATTTTTAAATTAAATGAAACTATACAATATAATATCATTAAATTGTACACAAATGATTTCTTAAGCCACTAAAACTGTATTCTTATGTACCTACAAAAAAGTAAATTTTTAACCATGACTATTTTTATTTTTTGACTCAAATAGTTAAGATTAAAAATTTGTTTAACTTAAATACAAAATTCCCAACTCTGCATGTCAAAAACATTTTTTGACAATAATCTGCTAAATGTATGAACTGGTCGATTGTGTATATTATAATGTTGTTACCATAGATTGAGTGATGTGCGTGCCTGGCTACATAGTTTTTAAGATATATATTGTTAACATTTCAGTCAAAACAACACAATTGGACAATGACGACATCGTGTCATTGTCACGAATGACTCTTGAATCTAGTGAATTACCAAACGAAGATGAAGTTCATGTTGAAGATTACGGAGTTGGTACTTCAAACATTTTTAATAACATTGCTAATAGAGGTACGCAGTTTAATAATCAGGGTAATGAATGTGTGCAAGTTTTTAATCCGGTTAGTGGAGGTGAGCAGGTTATTACTCCGAGTGGTGAAGTGCAGGATAACCAAGGTAATATAATAGGCAAGTCTAATTATTATCATACCTTGTATCACATTTTATTTATTGAAAACGTTTCAGGAGATGCATTTTGTAGCTTAGATGCAACAATTGTGATAAAAATTAATTACGACTAGAGAAAAGAAAACCGGAAGAATTTATCGCCGAGACCATAAAAGTTGGTGGACAATTTTCAACAAATTAGGGGTTCCGTTTTAGGCCAATACGAATTAATAAGTCATTAATGATAAGACCATTGCATAGGTGTATAAATTATTATAATTATTGTTAGAGAGTGAGGATTTTGTATAATTTCGCACATTAGCACATATGTTTCAAAAGTTACACCGAATTCAAAAGTAAAAAAAGATTTATATGTACGATTTTCTATGGCAGTATTATTATCGAATTCTCGCCTAAGCATTAACTCGAAAACGCAATTTTTTTACTATAGAAAAACACTTGGGTTGTTCGATGTACTTTCCCATTTCCACTGTATACATAAATTGAAATATACGAATCGACAAATTCAAGGTCTTAAGAAATTCATGGCCAACCCGACTTATTGACGATTTTCTAGAATAATAATAAAAAAAACAATTTACGTGAACTGTTTTTGGTTTTTTTTTTGTAATACAATGTTATTTCAAGGTTATTGTAATTTTCCCCCCTTCGATTAGAGGATTAAAATCCTAAAGGGAGGGGCGGTTTTGCAATATCTTATAGCAACTTGTATGAATAATAAATTTAGACATATATGTTAATCTATTTTTTGTTTTTTAGTAAAATAGAATTTGATTGGACTTTGAAGTTTATAATATAATTTAAAAGAGCCGTAATCTTTTAATAAGTTACATAATTATTATTTTATTATTATATTACATAAATAGTAAAACAAGTACAACCTAAACACATTAAAACCAATACCTTCGCCGCTCTGCATCGAAGCTAAAACATTTTTCTGTGTTTTTATGTAAAATGCTTCAAAAGTGGTCAAATTATATGTTTTTGGGGTCGGTGATTACGAATTTAATATAATTTCTCAATTTCACTCAGCCAGAAAAAACTTAAGTAAAAAAAAAATTAAATTTAATTTGTGTAAGCTTAAAGTCAAAAGTGGTACTTGAGCACAAAACTTAACAGTATCATTCTGCATAGATCTACATAAAATTGTTTTAATGATTTGATACATTTTTTTAAAGATTTTAGGTGTTTTTGTTAAAATATACGCAATCAGCGAAAACACAGTTTTCCAGCAATTAAAAAAAACTATAGAGCCGAATTTGTTTTCAGTTTAACATGTTATGGATACACATATGAGTTCTAACTACTGACAAATTTTCAACTTAAAGGTCTTAAAATTACGGCTAAAAAACTAAAAAAACTTGAACCCCCTCTAGGGGGGTGGTAAATGAGTTTAATTTAAATTTGATACAACTGACGAGTGCGGGCATACCAAATAAATATTTCTTATAAATTTCAACTCGATCCGACTTTTTTTCTCGAAATTATAGCCAGTAAAATTCCAACTTAAAAACTCGTACGGTTTTTTTTGTTTTTTCAAATTTTGACAATGAAGAAGTAAACTTTTTCAACTTTTACTCCTACCCCCCTAAAGTACCAACTAGATGAAATTTGTGATTTATAGAGTAGCTACTCGAAGGAATTGGTTCGGTATTAAAAAAGTTACAGTGTATACAGATAAAAAAAAAAACACATCAGAGAAAAACTAATACCTTCTCCGCTTTGCATCGAAGCTAAAAGATACACAAAATTACAAACATGGCACCCATTAACACTATCTTATACCTATGTAGGGTTTACACGTTATTTTCCTAAAAATTTAATATCTTTGGTTTCATGAATATTCACATCGGCAGTTGGAAAAAAATATATCAAAATATTTATGTGTACTAATTCTATAATTGTATGTTTAACACTAGAATATTTTCAACCTATGATTTATTATAACCTTCGAGTTTTAAGTAACCTTAGCTGGAGTAATACCTGATAGTAATTATAATAATTATCGAACATTTTTTAAGCACAGACATTTGCTTGTTTGTCCGAAAAGTATTCAATATGCCTTTCAACAAAATTCGTCGTGGTATACTTGTTGGGCTGAGCGGTGAGTTACATTGAAAAGACGGTTAATAGTGTTTAGATACGTCTTGACTTCAAAACACGACAAACCAAAAAAAAAATTGTTATGGCTAAATGACGACGT